ATGACTTGAGTGTCATTAAGTCTCCATGTATGTGTCGTCTAAATAGCCCCATGATCCTCCAAATTTTAAGATATAAAGTGGCCCCTAAAAAGAGTACAGGACTGTTCTACTAATTGAAGACAATATGACATGCTTACATGGCAGCCAAGGATCCCGAAACACACCAATCCACCACTGCACAAAAGGCCAAGACAGTAGCAGAGGAGGCTGATTGATAAAGTTAATGCAGAGGTCCAGGATTATAGAGGGCTGTTGTATAACAGCATCACATACTGCGATATTTTGTGAGTTCGTGCAATAAAGAAACAATATTTGCAAGCAAGTGGAAAGCAGTCACAGGGAAAGCAGTGGGAAAGATGTGTTCGACATGATCCTAATTTTTATTTGTCCACAGAAGCACACACAATCTTACAACTGCTGTCCTTAAGCAGTAAGCAGGTTTCGGATTCTTCCTAAAATTCACCCAGTCCCGCGTATAATCCCTCACACTCCACCATGCCTGAAACAGCCAATGGAGAGGCAACGATGGCCACTACTTGCACTGTGCTTCCCCCTTCCTGTCCGGACTCTGTCAAGCAGCAGCCCCTATTTTCCACTAGCTGCTGGAGGCCTCCATCCACCTGCTGTCTGCAGCAAACACCAAAAGGAACAGCAGCAAACCCGTAAAGCCTGACCAGTAGAAAAAGGTGTCTAGGACAGGTGGCAGGGGCTGCAACCAGTGAAGACAGACGGAATGACAACCAGACAGACAGACAGCAGCACCATCAGACACCATCCATTACTTCCAGTCTCAGAAGAGGGGAAGCCTGCAGCACCAGGGACGTCATTCTTCCACTAGGGACAGGCAGCAGATTAACGAGGGTTCTGTATCCCTCAAGCCGGCAGGCTTAAAGTATTTGTTTTTTGGATGAGAACGAGCAGGGAATGCAGAAACCTGCTGCTCTGTATAGAATCAGGCCAGCTCCGGCCTTCCGGTGAACGGCCCTTTTCTGAGTCTACAATGAAAGGGTAGGAATGACTGGATTTCTGCTCTTGTGCTGTGCCCTGACACCCCAGCTCTCCCTCAATATGCCCCTCAGCCTTCTGGGTAGCAGCTGCACTGATTGGGGACCCATTTCTCTGTGAATGCAGCCTCCTTCCACTCCTCTCCTGCGAGGCTTTGCTGCACTGAAGGGAAGCAGAAGAAACCTTCCCTGGCATCATCTCTTCAGGAGACACTCCTAGGGGTTGGAAGAGAGGCCCTGCTGGGCGTGCTCTGTGCCCAGGTGCCACTCCTGCTCCCTCCTTACCTCTTCTGCTGCTATCACCTAACTCCAGAAGCAACAGGTTCCCTTTGGCTCATCATGCCAATCCCTTGCCCTCAGACACCCTTTCTAGACTAAGCGTAGACTAAGCAGGTGACATGGAAGAATTCATCGCAATTAGGGGTCTCTAAATTCCCTGGCCCAGAGTAGGAAACTTTCTTAGGTGCATGGAGACTTCCCAAGAGAAGCCACGGTTAGCCTCTCCTTCAGCTCCACTCTGTGGGTGATGCTAAGGAGCAAGGAAAGCCCAGTCTCTATGCCAGTACCTCGTAAGCAGTTTTGCCTGAGACAAGCAGCAGTAGTGTCACACACTCCTGCACCGCCAGCACTGAGCCTCATGTCCTCCCACCTCCAGGAAAATGGGGCACTGGACAGAGATCCCTTGAAGGGTTAGTGGGCTCTAAAGAACGAGGATGTGCAGTCAGTCCCTTACTGGACTACTCCAGAAACCCAGCAGGCCCCAGAGGTCTTTTGGAAACCAGTAAAGAGGAACCTTTATTTAATTCAGGCCAGAGTTCCCACCAGCTTCTCCCATTATTAAAAACTTTGTGTTGCCAATGGCATTACATATGGGTCCGAACATTTGTCTTCACACGGGTATTCTGTGTAGAAGACTGAATAAAAGGTTGAAGATAAGCTGGGGAGGCAGGTTACCAAAGATGGCAACTGCCCCAAAAAAGACCCAACCTTGATCTGCCAGATGAATAAGGACCAAAATGAACACTAAAAATAAGCATTTTTATTTATAAATACCCGCACCCTTCGCTGGGGTAACCCCGACCTGCTAAACAACTCCAAGAGAAGAGGAGCTGTCCTCAGCACTTCATCCCACCTGCCCTTTCCTTTCCTCACCCCCTGCCCCTAACCTGCTGCCCCGCAGGCCCTTTCACTTGCTGGGACCAGCCCCTCTCGGCTTCTGCATATCCCACCACCAGGGTGGCCCCTGCACGCCCAGCCCTCCTCAGCACCCAGTCTCAAGGCGTCCTCTCCCGGCTCCTTGGTCCTGGGCTCGGTGGCATCCCCTCCTCCCTCCCGCGCCCCTCACCTCTCCCCTGCGGAGCTCAGC